AGTACGTGAAGGCAGCCGAGTTGGCAACAAACTCGGTGACAGCCACCAGCAGCATGGGCTCATGTGCCACGGGTAGTGCCTTGGGTGTCAGTGTGGGCACAGACAGGGGCAGTGCCACGGGCAGTGGTGTGGGCAGGGACAAGGGCAGTGCCATGGGCGGTGCCACTGGCGGTGCTGAGCGTCTCTGCTGGTACATGCCCACCCTGAAGATCTCCCCCTGTGCAGACAGACAGATGGATGTGAGGCTCAGCCAGGCTCCTCCATTCCCTGTTCCCAAATCTGTCCCAGGGACGCCTAGGGTGGTATTACCTTGAGGGCAATGTCCCCGTGCTCTGCTGTGAAGGCTGGCGGTCCCAGCAGGGAGTGGTCGATGGCAGCAAAGTTGTCCAGTTGGGTGAACACTGCAGGGACAGGAGGGTGGTCAGGGGAGTTGGACCACCAGCCCCCCCTCTGTCAGCACAGGGGCTGACAGGATCCAGTCCCACAGTGGGGCTGTCCATGTGTCCCTGGGACCACAGTGCTCATCCCTGGTCCTGAGGTCCTCTCACCCACCTTTCATGTGCTTCAGGGCAGCATCCAGCTTGTCAATGCCCCTCTGGAGCTCAAGGCAGAGCTGGAAGCAGAGAAAGGCATCAGCGATCCCAGGAATGGGGATGCCCAAGCCTCTCACTGGGCTGGGGGGGACAGGGACACCGACACCCCATGGCACGGGGGCTGAGCACCCACCTGCTTGTTCAGCCGCTGCCGCAGGGTTCTCTGGAGCAGCGGTGCCAGCAGGTTGTAGAGCCAGCTGTGGGGCAGAGCGGGGTGCTCAGATCACCCCCTGGCACCCCCCAGCCCACCACCCTGGCTGGGGCACCGGGAGTCCCCACATTCCAGGGACAGGACAGAGCGGGGGTCTCGGCATCACCTGTATCCACGGTGGAACTCCACGTGCAGGTCGGTGCCACGGGCGTCACACCCAGCGCTCCACACCGTGGGGTGGCCGCCGCAGTCCTCGCTCACCGCCAGCACCGCTGCCACGGCCAGGTCCCGCATGCGGAGCTCCACGGAGCCGCTGTCCTGGCTGGGGACAGCGCAGGTGAGCACAGGGACAGCAGTGACATCAAGACACCCTGGGCCAGCCAGGTCCCCGTCCCTGTCCCCATGAGGACTCACATGGCTCCCAGCCGGGCTGCCCAGTCTGCGCTGAGCCGGATTTGGGCGCGCTGCACCGTCAGCCTCACCCCCACGTCCTCGGCAAAGTCCAGTGTGGAGTCGTTCAGCTGCAGCTCGTGGATGTGGATCCTGCACAACACAGGCACACTGGGCTCACGGGTGTGCCCGGGACAGGGATGGGGACAGAGATGGGGACAGGGACCCCACGGGCAGCTCTTACCGCGGCACGGCGTAGGTGAGGGTCCCCAGGAGCGGGATGTTGTAGGAGCCTGTCAGGTTCAGCTCGTGCTCCTTCTGCAGCGCCGACTGGAACAGCTCCAGCCCAAAGCGGCGGCCTGAGGCAAAGTGGGAATTTATGGTGACACCAAGGAAGGGTCTGGGGTCCCCAGAGTGCCAGGGGGGCGAGCAGACAGGTCCAGGATGGCTCCTCCATCCCCCATCCTTAGTGGTCTGGGCATCATCCCCCACCCCTGCCCAGTCAGGGGCACAGACCCACCAAACTCCAGCGAACGTCGGGTCAGCCAGGCCTTGATGCCGGGGTTGATGCCAGGGTTGATGCCAGGGTTGGTGACGGTGGCAGGGACACAGACAGGCAGCAGGAGCAGGAGGCAGAGCCACGTGACACCCACAGGACGGTGCTGGCACCTGAAGGCTGGAGCAGAGGACATGTCTTGGGCACTCTCAGCTGATACAGAGACCCCCCCTCCATCTGCACCAGCAAAGCCAAGACTTATATCGGGGACAGGGAGTCCCGGGTGACATCAGCACGTGTGGGGACACCGCAGCACTCCGGCCACCGAAAGCCCGGCCTTGCCCAACATGTGACTCAAAGGGGAAGCCGGTTCTGCCGTGGTTCCCCACTCGCGCCCACCGTGGGAGAGGAGGAAGGAGGGGTCCCCCACCGTCCACTGCCGACCCCCTGCCCAGGGGGTGCACAGGAGCTGGGGCCACCCACCAGGGCTCCCCACAGGGACGTGTGACTGGCATGTGGGGACAGACAGAGACACGGCTGGGCCAGGGTCACCAGGGGCTTCAGCTGTGCCCTGCCCGGGGACACAGGAGTGGGGATACACGGTGAGTTGGTCCTGGGACGGGGGGGCTGCACCGGGGCAAACAGGGCTAGACACACTTGTGCTGGGAAGCAGCAGCTGTTCCCACATTGGGAAGGGCTCTGGGGACCCTGTGTAGGGTCAGCCAATCTTCAGTGGGGATCAGGGTGGCCAGGGCACGGTGACTGCCCCCAGGGAAAGTGGTGGGAAGGTCAGGGGAGTCAGAGCAAGAGCAGAACTGTGGAATCCCCTCTGAAAAGCCCTGGCTGCAGGAAAGGAGCAGCTCATCAATGGGACCATCCCCCAGCTGGAGTGAATCCTTCCAGCTGGACAGTGCCATGGGCTGACAGGGGTCCAGCTGCCCTCCTGGATCCAGCCCGGGGGACTCAGGAATCCCTCTGGGAAGATGGAAAGACCAGGTTCTCATCCCAGCACCATAAGGGAATGTAAGACCCCATGGCAAACCTCACCAGAGGGACCACAGCTCCCTCCATAATGGAGCCCTTGAGAACAGCTGCCCCTTGCCTGAGACCCCCAGTGCCACCAGCCAGGGCTGCAGTGATGGTCATGGCCCCCAAGAACATCCCAAAGGCCAGTGCTGACCCTGAACCCCAGCCTCATGCCCACCACAGCCCCTCTACCCCCGGGTGCCCCCTCTCTGTGCCAACACTCACCATGGCAGGCGGGGAGGCTGCTCCCCATCACGGGGGCCGCAGGTCCCACCATAGGTCCCAGCTCCGCCATGTCCCCGGGACCGTACGTGGCAGCAAACAACAGGGACAGGCTCTGACACCAATGTCCATCCAGGGTCCTGGTCAGACCAGAACGTCACCCTGTTCCCCGGTCCCTAATCCCTTCCGGGATGAATCAGGTCCCACGAAAACACCGAGGGACCGGTTGGAGCGCAGGTGCCCGCGGGCTGGGCGCTCCCTGGGGCTTTCTGGTGAATCCTGGTGCTGCCGCATCCGGCATCCCGGCACGTGTGAGGCGGCTCAGCCGTGCCGGCCTCGCTCCGAGCCCGGGCTGGCTCTGGCAGCCCCTTCCCCAGCTCCCGGCCGTGGCCACGCCGTGTTGTCCCCATGCCCTGGGTGGCAGGTGATGATCGGGGCTGCATCGCGAGGGCTCGGTCGCGGGGTGCGCGGGGCTCGGGCAGAGGGTCGGGCAGAGACGTGGGGACACACAGAGACACGCACGGAGCCCGTCTCGCCGCGGCTCCAGCTGGAGATTCCACGTCTGCCGGCAATGAGCAGATAAGGACGGCACCGGGGAACACGGCACGGGACGAGCCCCAGCGCCTCCCGCACCATCCCCCGCAGCCCGAGGAGAGCCCCTGGCACTGGTTCTCCCTGTCCTGGGACCCTCCGGACTCCTCCAGGAGTCCAGTCCAGGCCGTGCAGTGCGAGCGGACACCAGGAGAGGGACCCACCGCCCCGACAGTGCCGCGCTCCGGGACCGGGAGTGAGCCGGGCGACAAAGGGGACATCAGTGGGGGTGACAAAATGGACCTGGAGAGTGAGGGAGGGGACACCAGTGGGGGTGACAGAGGGGACTCATCCGATGATGGACAGGTTCATCTACAGGAACACTAGAGCCCTGACACCCCGCTAAGTGTCCCCCACTGCTGTGTCACCACCAGGACAGGGCTGGCTGGGCCAGGCAGTGTCCAGGTTCCCTAAATCACATCCCACTGCCAGGGGATCTGCTGGACTGGGGAACCACGAGCAGGCAGGGACACACTCAGAGCTGTGACTGTGAACATGCAAACACACACAAACGCTTGTGCCAAGGCTCACACACAAACACACCTGTGCCCAGGGCAGGTCAACCCCTGCCAGCACCAAACCCCCAGCTTCAGAACCCTGGGGGCCTAAACAAGAGCCCCTCCAGGCACCCCAATTTTCTCCCACCAGGCTCTACGGATCCGGTACAGGAGCTGTGTGGTCCTCGAGGTGTTTGTGAGTCATGGGGCAGCTCAGGCCAGTGCTGCTGCCTGGGGCATCCCCCAGCCCTCGGGGTTGCACAACCCTTGATGCAACTTCCTTCTCCCAAAATGTTTCTGTCTCCACAGGCAGGGGTTGCACCAGGAAGAGCTGGAACCAGCGGGGCAGCACCGGTGGGGCCGCAGAAGGCAGCACCCCAGGACCTGTTCCCCACCTCCCCAGGACACTGCAATGCAAAGCATCCCCTACAGCACCACCCCTGCACCCCAGCCCTGACACAGCAGCGACTGTGGGAGCCCTGGGAAGGGTGCAAGTGGCTCAGTTGGAAAACGGAGTGAGGGAAGCCCACCCTGCAAACTCATCATTGCCCAGAGAGATGGGGACCCCCACACTCCCTGTCTGGACACAGATTCCCACACCTGGTTCCCAGCACTGTCCCCTCCGTGTCATCATCCCATCAAGGTGCCTGGCCAGGGGAAGATGCATCCCAGTGCTGCTGCTTTATCCCACCACAGAAACTGGTGTGCAGTCTTTCCTCCTGTGTCTGCCCCCTAATAGCCCATGTCTGAGCCCAGGGAGTGAAGGAGGGAGAGATATGGACCACATGGGAGCCACTGGGAGAGGCTCTGTGGGCTCTGGGAAAGGCCAGCACACAGGGAATTGGGACCAACCTGTGAGAGACTCCCTCCCCAGCACCACCACGGGGGCCCAGTCCCTGCACCCCACAGCACACCCACCCAGCCCACACTGGTCTGCCCAAGTCCCTCCAGTTCGATGGGGGCTCACATCCCCTGGGCTGAACCCCCACAAACCCCAGGGGAGGGGTGTGAGGGGCAGGAAGAAGAGGCATGCGTGGTCATCAGGGCTTGTTTAATAACAAAACTCCAGCTATTGTAGAACAATATTCTCCAGCATCATTGTAATATACAATACGGGGAATGCTCTCAGCAATCTGAGAAGGAAGGATACGGCCCGCGGCACCCCCTGCCCAGACTGCGGGGGGACCCCCAGGGCAGCGCTGCCGGGGGCCAGGGATGCAGGCGAGCCGTGGCGCTCGGGGTCGGGATGCCGGGGACGAACGAGGTCCGTGGCGGGGCCGGGGACCCGGGGATGTCGTCCGTGGCGAGTCCCGAGCGGTCTCAGCGGCAGAGGATCCGGTCAGCAGCGGGAATACACGGAGCCTGCGGGAAACGGGGACGAAGCTGCCGGTCAATACTTGTCAGAGGAGTTTCGGGGACGGCGGGGGTGGAAGGGGGCAGGAGGAAAGGACACCCCCGGGAAGGAAAGAGGCGGTGTGGATCGTGGGAAGGAGGGTCCGGGGGACGCCGGTGCTGCCCGGCGGGAGCGCGGGACCGGGCCGGTGCCGGGGGGTCCGCACTCACCTCGGGGGGATCCCCGGCGGCGGCGGGGCGGGGGGGCCCGCACTGCAGCGCCAGCTGCAGGTCCCAGATGTAGTCGATAACGTGCTGCAGAAGCTCCACCTTGGAGACCCGCCGGTGCCGCGGCAGAGTCGGCACCAGCGCCCGTAGCCGCGAGTAGCAGCCCTTCATGTCGTACAGCAGCGCGGCGGCCGCCTGCTCCGCCACCCCGGCGGACACTCCCGGCACCGGCCCGCAGCGGGCGGCCTCCCCGGGCCGCACGGCCTTCAGCGCGCCGCCGGCGCCCGCGGGCAGCGGCGAAGGAGCGACAGCGGCGACCTTCATGTCTCGGGGCGGCGGGGCCGGGCGGGACGGGCGGCGCTGGGACCCTGCGGAGGAACAGCCGAGCTCGCGCCCCGCCGCGCCACTTATAGAGTGGCCGCCGACCGGTGGGCGTGGCCGCGCGGAACGCCTCGGCCAATAGCGACGCGGAGCGCGCGGGGACGGCCCCGCCCATCCCATTCAAGCGCCCGCGAAGGGCAGCTCTTAAAGGGGCAATGGCGGGGAGCGGGCGGTGGCGGGCTTGGGCTGCGGGAGTTACGGGGTGCGGAGCGCCCGCTCCCCGCCGCCATTAGCGCGGGTAGTTGGTCCGCAGGCTCCTGGTGTCGGGCTCCCCGCAGTCCCGCTCGCCCCTCGCCCCCTCCCGGCCCCCGGTGCCCCTCCGGGAGCTCGGCCCCCCCGCGCTGCCCGCGCCCCCCCGCCCTCCCCGGCGGCTCAGACCGTGAGACGCCAGGGCCGTGACGTCACCCATTCATAAAACCCCGCGCGCTGTCAGCGCGGCGCCGGGCGGGCGGTGCCCATGGCGACGGGGGCGGGGCGGGGACACACACCTGCAGCCCCCGCGGGGGGCTCCGGGACCCCCACGGAGACAGCGACACCCCCACGGGGACACGGGGGCACCGAGACCCCCGCGATGGGCACCGGAACCCTCGCGGGGGTACCGGGACCCCACGGGAGGCACCGGGACCCCAGGGTGACACGGCCATCTATAACGCTGCTGCTGCTTTTGAGAACACACGCAGGATCACTCTCGAGGAGAAAAGACAACGCAGAAAGAATCGCGTCTTGTCTGATATCACCTGGGGAGTCTTTCTGCTGTGCCTTCTGCAACCGGACTTGTCTATCTCGCATTGGCCTTTTTAGCCATCAGCGTGCTTGTAGCAAGCGTGGGTAGAGCCCTTCTCAAATCTTCGTTCGCGAAGCCTAGCCATGATGATGATGAAACCTACAGAGCACAAACACAACCACAAACAAACAAAGATGGATGCACATGTAGTACACACACACACACACTCACGTGTGTGCACATCCATGCACTCCCATGCACCCGTACACTCCACCTTGCACACCAGCGTGTGTGCCCAGGTGCCAGTGCAGCCCCCCTACCCTTTGTGGGGGTGGGTTAGGGGGTAAACCCTCCCGTGCCTGGCTTTGCCTCCCCAAGCATGCAGGGAGCCGAGGGCCTCTCCTCCTCTTCCTCCTCTGGAGGGGGAGAAGCAGCAATCCTGTGGAGTGTGGATGGCCGGGGGGTAGCTGGATCACTCTATTCCCCTGTCCCTCCCTCTGTCCCTCCTCCCTGTGTCCCCCAGCCCGGTGCGGTGGCGGTTCCCAGGGTGGGCACGGCGCTGGGGTCGCCCCCTCCATTCAGGGCTCGGCGGAGGGCCCGGTGCTGCCCGGTTCCCACCGCGGCTCTCAAAGCTGCTAATTAGCCCCCATCTGGCGGCAGTGGCCGGGCCGCGGCGGGAGGCCGGGGGACATTGTGCGCAGGAATGTCTTTCAGGGCCGCCGGCCGGCCGCCGCCACCGCCAGCTGCGCCGCCAACAATGCCGGGCCGGGCCGGACCCCGCGGGCCCGGGCACCGGCCACCCCGTGCGGAGCGGGACCGGGACGGCCTTCCCGGCCATAGTGGGGGTCACGGCACGCGTGGCACGGCCGCCCTGGCACATGTGGCACAGCCACTCCGGCCGCCCCTGCCCACGGGATGCCGCCGGACAGCAGGACACCTTCGCCCCGTCCCTGAGCGTGTTGGGGTGCTGGGGATGGGGTGCTGGGGTTGGGGCTGCCGGTGTGGCTCCGGGACACTGCTGTGGCCACAGCTGGCCGCGGGGTCCCGGCGTGGCACAGCGCAGCAGTGTTGTCCGGCAGAACACAGAGCTTCATTTCCATCTCAATTCTGGGAACGGGGCGTGCGGAGCGGTAACAGCGGCCTCGGCCATATGGCGCTGGCGGGGCTCAGCCCGGCTGGGGGGGCAGCCGGGGGGCGGCTGCTTTGCGCTGAGCAGGGGTTGCCCGGCAGCCGAGCACATCAAAGCCCCCGGCCGCCCCCTCCTCGCCACGCCGGGACCACACAGGGCACGGCCGCGCCAGGCCGGCGAGGGGCCGCGGGGCTGCCTGTGCTGCTGTGACAGTGGGGACAGGGTACAGTGGGCACCCCAGGACCGGCAGCACCCAGTCCTGGCAGCACCCAGCCCCCCCACTCTGGCATGCAGGGCTGGGAGCAGGAGCAGGGAAGGCAGCACAGACAACACAGGTCAGGCTGGGGGCTCCCACAGTGACCAGGACCCCCAAACTGGGGCTGTTCCTGCCCTGGCTGGGGTTGAGCTGTATCCAGGTCCTCTCTCCCGGTGCCATCCGCAGGTCAGCACTGAGCCTCCAGCCCCCCATGTCCACAGGACGATGCTGAGCCAGGGTTGCAGATGTGCCGGGGCTGCCGGCACAGCTGGAGCGGGGCCGAGGCCTGAGAAAGCCCCTGTGCATTCCCCTCCCGCCTTCTCCCTTCCCGTTCCCAGCTCCATCCGCTGCAGCCCAGACCAGCTGGAGCCAGGCAGCCCTTCCTGGGATTTATTCCAGCTTCCTGCCCCTCCTCGCCGGCAGGCCGGGGCTGGGGCTGCTCTTGGCTGCTTCCTCTCCCCACTCGCAGCCGCCGTCCAGGCGCCACTGCTGGCACCCACCGGCCCCTGGGACTCTGGGTCTCACCAGCACCCACTGCCCCGTGGGACCCCAGCTGTCACCACCATGGCCAGGCATCCCCAGCTCTGCTTCGTGGGGCACGAGGTACAACCGCAGCACCCATCATCCATCACCTCCCATCCCACCAGCTGCATCCCTGCTGCAGTGGGGAGGCTCCACAGGGCTCTTGGGACAAGCAGCCCCAGAGTGGCCCCCCTTACCTCAGGCACCAGCACCCCTCCAAACACGAAACCACCATCCCCCTGCTTGGTATCTGCACCCAGGTGTGCCCCCTGTGCACTCCCAGCTCAGCCCCTCCCACCCCACTGCAATTCCTGGTGGGAGTTTGGCATGAGGGGAAGGTGCCCAGAGGCTCACTCCCCTGGCCAGTGGGCACCTACACCACTGCCTCGAGGGGAGGTGAGTGGGTGGGTGAGGACCATCCCAAACCCCACAGCTGCTGGCAGCAGAACAGGCAGCTCTGGCCCCTGCCCTGGCCGGGTGCAGATAAGTGGATGGAGGTTTCCTGCCGGAGCCAGCACATCCATGTTTCCGCAGCCCCCTCCCCGAGCCAGAAGGATCCTGCGGAGAGGGGAAGGTGGCCCAGCGGAGGTCCAGACTCAGTGGAGCCGCGAGGCCGCGGCAGTGCCGGGAGCGGAGGTGCCACAGGCCCAGGTGCAGCAGGCGAGGGAAGCGGGGACTGCTGTGGCGCCGGCTCTGCTGGCGGCTCCTTCCAGAGCCCAACACACACTTCCTTCCTCCTGGCCAGCCCCAGCTTATCGGCCGGGCAGGGCAAAGGACGACCCTGCTCTCCCCTCCACAGGCCTTCCGCTTCCCTGAAGCCCCGGGAAAGCTCCTGGCCACACTCCCACCACACCTACAGTGGGCACAAGCACCCTGCCCTGCGCTTTGCAGGGCAGCAGAGAGGCAGGAGAGTGGGCAATGCTGGCGCTGGGGGTACCTTGTGCACTCCCCAACCTGCTCCTGCACCCTTGGGGGGCTCTGGAGGCTGCGTGCGAGGCCACGGGGACAGCAGCTCACAGCACCCGAAGCCAGGGAGGATGCAGAGCCTCACAGGACGCGTTGCCAGCCCCACACCAGGGGACACACACCCTCATGCTGTGGTGGGGAGAGGGTCCTGACTCGGGGCAGGGTGCTGAGCCCCACAGCAGAGCCAGAGTCCTCCTCCACGAAACACTGGAGGCTGGTGAAATCACATCTGGAGTCTAGACTCAGCGACTCGGTGGGCCGGGCCTGGCGGCCGCGCTGTGCCCAGGCCCTGCTGCACACTGTTTGCTTAGCTGGAGGTATTTAATTGGAATTAAAGTGGCCCCTCTTGTTTTTGCGGACAGGGCTGTTGGAAAAGGAGCTGTAAGTCATAGAAAACATCTGCAGGAGCCTGCGAAGGGTCATTAGATGGCAGAACGCGAGGCGCCACTTTTAGTGCTCGCAGCCGGCGCGGGGAATAATGGTTCAATACGGCTTTTGTGGAGGGGCTGCCAAGCCAGCAAACACTTTCTATTTATTCTGGCAGTGGGCATGGCCAGAGGGATGCAGGATCCTCCACATGCGGGCCCCAAGGACGGGTGGGGAGGACACTGCCAGTGCTGCAGGACACAGGGCAGCTGGTCCCAGTGGGAGCCGAGGCGGCTGCTGGAGCTGCCCCTGCCTGCAGCTGCCTGAACCACCCCCAGACCCTGCCTGCAGCCCCTCCAGCCCCCATGTCTGCACCAGCATCCCTTGCCCATTCCAGCCCCACGGGGTGCAGGATGGTGCCTGACTCCCTGCAAGGAAGAGGACAAGCCACACCCTCCTGACCCCACTCTGGGGCCAAGTTTGGGGTCTCCCCCCTCTAGCCCACCCATGTGTGCTCCCCCAGGCCGTGGGGGCTCAGCCCCAGCTCTGATGCAGAGCACGTCCCCACCCTGTGGGGTTCTTGCACCCCGATCCCTGCTCAGCCAACTCTGCTCCAGGGCCAGACCCTGCTGACCCTAAATCTGGGTGCTGCAGAGTGGGGGCCAGGCTGGGGGAAGGCTGAGTGCCAGAGGAGCGGGAGGGGGAAGGGGATGGTCACTTGGAAACAGCCAGACAATGGCCACCAGCCCCACTGGGAGAAGGCGGGCGAGCTGGACACGGATCCTGGTGCCAGCTGAGTGGGGGCACGACCAGCACTCCTTCCTTCAACATGGTTTAATATGAGAGAAAGCAAATGCACAATACAAAATTTAAAAACCGGCGTACATCGATACCCCACCTGGGTGGCTGCTCCGACACACACAACACGATGCTCTTGCACAATTGTTTCATCGTCTGTCACTGGCAGAGGGTCTGGAAGGGCCCCAGCCCAGCGGTGCCGGGCATGGCCCACAGGCAAGGTCACTTCTCCTTCTTGGAGGCTTCTGTCAGCTCTTCTTTGGAGGCCCCCGGCGCCTCCTTGGGGGTTGAGCTCTCCTCGTAGCTGGGGACGAGAAGGACAGGAGGGAGGAATGAGTGGGGCCAGCCCCTCGCTGGGGACAGAGCTCTGTGCCACATTGGGACAGCCCAGCCCACGGCCTCCTTGGGGTCTGTTATGGTGCCATGGCTGTGCCAAGGAAGGGGTGGCTCCAGCCATCAGCCCCCAGTGTGGGAACCCCCATGGGGCAGAGCCCAGGCAGAGAGACGAGTGATGTGACTCTCCTGGACATGTCCAGGGATGGGGTGTACCCAGCCAGGGGCCAGCTCTGTGCCCGGGGGTCTGTCCTTGCTCCCGAGAGCACCACAGGATACCCTGGATAGCACACACTTTCCCTGGCTGAGCCCTGGTGCCAGCGAGGCTGGTTAATGGGGGAGCTGCAGCAAGACCAACAGCAGCGATCCCCCCCGGAGTCTCGCTCCTCTGGCTGCAAAGTCCCTCCAGCAACGGCCCCAGGGCTCTGGCAAAGAAAATCCAGGAATGCAGCTTCCAGCAGAAAGGAACACCAGGGCAGAGATGTCAAATTCTCTCGCCCTTCCCAGTCTCCTCTCTCAGACTGGGAGAGAATCCGGCCCATGGCAGCGAGGCGGCAGCTCCAGCTTCTGCCCAGGGAGTGGGGAGAGCTGGGAATGGGGAGAGCTGGGAATGGGGAGAGCTGGGACCTGCCCCTACCTGGCCAGAGCGACAGACAGGGGGCCCCGGCGGCAGCGGCTACATGGCACTGGGGCTCTGCTGCCGGCGTCGGCGGGGACAGGACAGTTTCTGCTGCATGGAATCGGCCAGGCTGGCCGGCGAGCCAGACACCGTGGGGAAGTGGGTAAGCCTTGGTGTGTGTGGCAAGATTTCAGCAGAGGATTCATAGCTGCAGGAGAGAGGAAGCAGGAGGGGAAAGACAAGGACAGAAAGGAGAGGGGGAGAGAGAGAAGAAA